GTTCAAATAAACTTTCTTTTATCCCGAAATCTATCTCGCATCACTTTTTTCCATCATGCGCCTGTGATGGAAAATTCAAGGGATAAGAAAGGCATCACATCTCAAAAATAAAATTCTGGTGAATAAAATATAATATAAGAATCCCTAATAGAAAAACTTTAATAAAGCGAAATCAGACACACTAGCTTGATAGATGAAAATAATGAATCAAATAGCCACCAAGAAAATACAAGTGCAGTTCGCAAATAATCACCTCGTTCCGCACCAATTTCACTAGCCAAAACATCTGCCCAAGCTGTACAGGGAAGTGTACACCACGTTTTTCTACTGCTGCTTGACCACATTTTCTTCAATTGTACTGAAACTGGACCCATAATTCATTCAACCCACAAAATTTCCCAAAAGAAAATGAGCGTCTCCAATTCAAAAATAGAACCTTCTAATTTTACTCATTATAATTACAAATTTTGATTTTTTTTGTCAGTAAAATAAATGAAGGAGCCCACTCAAAATATTAAACCACATATAATGACAACTTAATAAAAAATAATATTTGAATTCTTTATCTCCCACTCTATCAAAATTGAAAGTCCTTGGTAGTGTGGTTTAAAAAATGGATTAATCCTTCCTACACCAACAGTGTATACACTATCAGTATTAGATAAATGACAATTATATAAATTTTGAATTTAAAATTTAAATTCTACACATATCATGAATCAAATTATGAGAGTATATACACTTTCAGTGTACAGAAAGATCACTCTTAAAAAATTCCCATGTTTGAAAGCAAAGTTTTAAATCAATGTGTACGCCACTAAAGTAAAAAGCCTATATGATGGAAACTTTCAACAAATATTAATCACATACACTCGGAAAGTAAGGCCAAACCACAACCATACCCAAAAGGCAATTGCTGCCTATATGATGGAAACTGCACGGACAAATTCCCATGCAGTGAAAAGCAAAAGAAGCGATGGAAATTGTGCCAACTTGCGGAAAGCAAAAGTGTCTTGTGTTGTGGGGTCCCTAGAAATGCAATACACGCCTGGTTGATAGGCCTCAAGGGTCAAGAGTCAAGGCAGATGGGGAAGTGGGGCCCAGGCAAAGTTGCCACCAACAAATGCCGCCAACCGACTACCCCCTGAAAAGGTAACGTCCTTCTCGAAAAAACCGCGGCCATCTAATCGAATAAAACCGTTATTTGAACGCAGTTATTGAACGAAACTCATGGTCTGCCTTCTTTTTTTCCTTTTTCTCATAAGGGAAATTTCATTTTCCCTTATGCTTCTCCAAATCTGTATAAGTGTGCAGTGTTTCCATTTGATCCAATGATGACTCAATTTCGATTGATTCCCATAGTCCAATTGGGCTACCTCCCCTTAAAATTGACTGGAGTAGAAGTCGGAATAAAGTAAATATAGATGTTGTTGATTGACCAAAACAAAGGATAAAATACTAAAAAACTCAATATAATTTGTTAAATGTTCAATTTAATTCCTTCTTATTTAAAAATTTATATTATAAGTCCCTGTAGTTTCAACTAAATTGAAAATTGGACGGAAAACATCCAATCTAATGGTTATACGTGAAATGTCAATATTGTCTCTATATAAATGAACTCTCTATGGTTTGTTGAATGTTCAATTTAATTCTCTCTAGTTTAAAAAATTACACTATGACTCCCTACGGTTTCGACTAAATTGAAAATTAAACGGAAAGCATCTCACATATAGTGGGGGCAATATTGACATTTCACACACAACCATTAGATTTGATGCTTTCTGTCCAATTTGTCGAAACCATAGGAAGCTATAGTGTAGGTTTCCAAACCAGAGGGAGTTAAATTGAACATTTGTCAAATCATAGAGTTTTTTGGTATTTTACCCAGAAAAAAGATATAAGAGAAATTTCATTTTCATGATTATCGGAATTTAATTCATGTAATGCACAAATAATCTCAACAGGAAGTATCAATTTATTTCTCAAAACATAAAGCCTACTTCACATGTCTTAGGAGATTGAAAAAAAAAAGCAGTAAACTTAAATTAGATAAGAAACAAAAAAAGATAATTAGTATCCCTACTTTACTCTGCAGTTTATAATGCTCGATGAGTTCGTTTGAGCTCAACTAACTATATTTGGTCGAGTTTGAGTAAACTAACATAATATATATATATATATATATATATATATATATATATATATATATAATACGAAAATGGTGGGGTTTAAGAAGCTGGGAGGAGACAAGGAAATTTATAGAAATAATTTAAGAACTTAAGAAGAACTAAAAGGAGTGTTTTTAGTAATAAGCAAAAAGAAATTTTTTGCTTCACTTTTAGAAAATAATTAAACAAGATTAGGAAATAAGGGGGAGGGTTGCATGGTAAGACAAAGGGATTGTAAGTAGGAGGTTCTGAATTCAAACTTTTGCACTTCCAAAAGAAAAAAAAAAGATTTGGAAATGAAATTCTCAATTCAAGGGTGAAAGATTGGAAAACTAAATAAATAATGCTTTGTTAACAATGCCTAATGAATCTTGATTCTATACCATTATGAATAGATTTTGAGTATTTCGTATTTGAGATTAGACAAATCAATCATTCTATTTTTTTTGCTTGTGCATATTCCTAAAACTAAAGTTGAAAAGCCCTAAATCGGTGGCAAACTTTCACTTAATCTATTGGGGTGTTTGTAGCTTCTTAATTAGGACGTTCGATTCCATGTTTGTTTTTTTGCCCTAATGATCAATTCTCAAAATATTAGGAACGCATTCAACAACAGAACTTTTCGTTATATAAAAACGTAAATTAATTTACATTTGTGTCAGAAATTATAGTTGTTTAGAAATTTTCGTGGTATGTGTTCTTACCTCTCTAACTTTTGGATTTTATTTGTGTTCTTCTATTTGTTGTATTTAATTATTGTTCACTTTGTGCTTTGTTTTTTCAAGCAGGAGAGGGGCAGGACTTAAAAAAGCAAGAGGAAGAATGGAACCCCTCCCAAAATCTTGAAATCTTGAAATCTCAACCTTAACTATTAGATCAAAATCTATAATTCATTTTGTGCTTACAGTCATAAATCACATAATTAATTTTAGAGTAAAATGGGCTAGAAGTCATCAAATTATTATAAAATTTCACTTAGCCTATTGAACTATTTTTGTTCTCATTAACCCACTAGACTCTTTATGATTAATTAAGAGGCCAACTCCGTGAACTTCAACTGTTAACATTATTACATAAATATGGTCACTTACCTTGATCAGATAAGGTATATACCACTTGAATAGAGTGGTGAAAGTTTAATATACAGAGTTGTTGAACTTAATTTTTGAGTTAGTTATTGACTTTTGTTTGGATAGGGTATTATTTGAAATATTATTTGGAATAATTACTGTAACATTTTTTGTGATGTGATGTATGTGAGATAAAAAGATAGTTGAGAATATAAAAAGACATCTGAGTGCTCAAATGTTCAAGCTCTATTTGTAGACAACTGAATATGGGACACGGGCTGCGTGGTTGTAATTTTATATGTTGGGTATGGTTATTGTTCTTATTACATTATTTGATGTATAATAACATTACATTGTTATATTCTTGAAAAACTTAATATAAATGGTTAAATAGTTTATATATATATGTATATATTATATATTCAGTATAACAATATAATGTAATAGTACACTAAAACAAGGAGACAATACAATCCTACATGCCTCAATTCCTTTGAATAAGTACTGTGATGGAAAAAAGCAGTACTAGTATAAATATAGCCATTAGTCAAGCATTTCCTTCTAAAGTTGGATTGGTAGATGTTTACGTGTTCTTCGCTCTGAAAGACCAACAAGTATATAGACTTTCGAGTTTCGAGTCATAGTTTCTTCCAAAATAGGGAGTACGATACACTACTGTGCTACCAACATTCTTTTGATTCTTGGTCCCCGTAATCTGCACTCCAATTTTGACAACTTTGCACTTCATTTCATTTTCTGCCCGCCAGATTGACGGACCGAAGTAGAAATTTCTTATCAAAAACATGAAAAACAACAACAATAGATGCACTCAAAATAATAACTCAATTATGGACTTTGATAATATAACGAGTTGCTTAGAAGAATGTAAGAAACCTCTAGTATAATGAGTTTAAATAGGCTTGATCGCATACTTGACGTTTTACACCAGTGGCGGAGCCAGAAAAAATTTTCCAGTGAGGGCAAAAGCAACTATAAAATTTTTTACCTACACTTTTTTTAGTTTTTTAAGGAAAAAAATGTTCATCAACAAGTACAAATGATGCATATATTTCATGAAAAATATCAAAAGACAAACTCAAAATTATTAATGTAACAATAATTTTATTTCAAAAATAAACTAAACCATTTACAATTGCTCATGACGAGTTTTCATATTTTGATAATGGTTTACAACCTTTTTATTTTGAACTTCACGAAATATATTTTTCTCAATATAAGTAACTAGACAATTATTCATCCAAGTGTCTTCCATTCTATTTTGTAACCAATTCTTCACTATATTCATCATTGAAAAAACCCTTTCTACGGTAACTGTAACACAGGTAAAATCAAAGGCAACTTTAAAAGTATATAAACTAATAGATATACAAAACTTCAGAGGGCACACTTAAAATTATATCAAATTTTTATAGGTATTATAGAAATTTAAAGGGGACAGTGGGAGCCTATAAATCAATTTAAGAGGGACAGTGGGAGCTATAAATCAATAGATACACAAAATTTCAAGAGACACAGTTAAAATTACATTAAATTTTTATTGGTACCATAAAAATTTAAGGGAGGCAGAGGAGCCGTGCCCGTAGTGCCCCTAGTGTATATCCGCCACTGTTTTACACCACAGTTGACTTGTCTCCGGTCTCCGGACCTGCGTTCCAGTACATTGATAAGCGATTATAAATTATCCTGCCTTCCATTTTCATTACAACACTTTCCTTCACTAATTCTCCATACTGAAATCATGCGCGGTCATTCCATTCTGATTGCCTCATGGGCTCTCGTTGTATCAATAATACTCAATGGAGGACTACTTTGCTCAGGTTGCTTTTTAGAAGAAAAACATGCTCTCTTGGACTTCAAAGCTTCCTTAAATGTGACTACAAATGCTCATCTTATCCTTTCTTCGTGGACTGGAAAAGAAGGTGATGGAGCAAATGCTGATTGCTGCACCTGGGAACGGGTCAGGTGTAGTAATATTACTGGGAGAATTGTTGAACTCCACCTTAGTAATTTGCAAGAGAATATGTATGAGGATTGGTATGTAAATATAAATATTAGCACTTTCATACCTCTGAAGGACCTGCGAACTCTAGACCTGAGGGGTAATTACTTCAATAGTGAAGTGACAGGTAACTACCCTTCCATCTTTTTCTCAAATCGTTGGTTTTCCCTAGGGGTGGCAATTCCTGACACGACCCGAAAACACGATACGAACCTAACACGAAATTAATGGGTTTGGGTTGAGGTTTCGGGAGTTCGGGTCAGAATCGGGTCGAACCCGATGAACCCGAAAAGAAAACAGGTCAATTTCGGGTCAACCCGTAGTGACCTGATATGACCCGATGTGACCCGTTTACGAATTAAAACTAATTTAATAAACATAAAAATTATTTTATCTAACTGAACTAAATGATTCTTTTTTTCCAAAGGCATTAATTACTTAATCCTAAATGAATTTATTTAACTTGTGTGAAGTTAAAATTATTATATTTGGACAAATAATATATTATGTTATTTTTTACTTTTATGCTATTTTAATTTATTTTATATTTGGTTTGGGATAAAACACTTTTATGGTGTTTAATTTATTTTAGATTTGGTTTGAAATTATTTATTTAAATTTTTATTACTTGATGATGTAATTAATTTTGTGAAAAATTGATTTTATTAGAAATTATAGTGATAAATTAATAAATTAAAATTAAGTTTCGGGTCATTCGGGTCGACCCGCCAACCCGAAATTTTAGGGTTCGTGTCAGGTATCCTGACCCGTTTCGGGTTGGCGGGTCGGGTTCGGGTCAGCAGATTCTTTGTTATACTTAAGCCTCAACCCGAACCCGACCCGATTGCCACCCCTAGTTTTCCCCAACAATAATTGAATCTTGGCCTAAACCACATACACCATGTTGAATCTTTTCCTTCTTTGTACTTTGTAATTTACTAATTTTCCAGAGTAAAATATAAAATTTAATCTTGTATATGTTTTGATTTTGCTAAAATATAAAATTTAATCTTATATCGAAAGATTGGCCAGTAATTCATCTTTCTTTTTTCGTTCAAGCCTTACTTTTGGTATTCTTTCCCGCAGCTTGAGGCAAGTTTTTCATATTTCTTCATCTTTTTTTCTCAGCCTTATTTCTTTTAATTTCTCATGTATTATAATTGTAGAAGACTCAAAATCCCGTAAAAACTGACGATAGTTTAATAAAGCAGGAAACTATTTTGCATTAAATTTTAGCTGTGAGTTAGTCATTTGCGCCCCTTCAAAACAACAAGAATTAATATATCATAAATTGAAAGAAGTCAAGAAAAAATAGCAATTAAAAAATAGATCATACAGGCATAAAACATCAACCTATCATGATGGATTAGGAGCAATAACTAAGATTGATGTCTCTAAGAAAAAAACATGCAATTTATGTGGAAAAAAGTGAATGGATCAAGAAAAGAGACTAAGATATTGCATTACAAAGTATACTTTTTATTTTTTGAATTTGAATTACTCTCGCTTCTTACCATCATTTTCTTTCAGTCAATTATTTAATAGTGTGTCTTATTTATTTATCAATTAGTTTTCAATTCAATGGGTGACCGGTTACAAATAGTTAGAATCGAAATTATTTTCTTTGGATCCTATCACATGCTTTGAAGTATTAAGTGTCATTTTCTCTTTCCATTTCAAGATTAGATATAAGTAGGAGGACTCGAATATGATACCTCTCACTTATACTCCACCACCCAACCCATCCGTCCCCCTCCCCCAAGATTATAAGGATAGGATGTTAAAATATGTCCAAATTCCAAAATAAATTCACAAAATTAACAAAATCTGCCTTAGGTTAGCTGTATCTTAGAAATACTCCATTCGTTTTAGTAGGTTTAATTAACCTTCGATTGAAAAGTGGAACATAAACAAAAGGTGGGAGGATTATTTGTAAATCTAAAAGGATTAGTTATGTAAGTTTTTCTTTTGCGTTTAATTCAGAATTCCATTGACTAACAATAAGAGAAATTCAAGTACATTTTTGTATTTTTATTCTTCTTTATTTATTCATCAGTAAAATATACACTTAAGTATTTTGTGCTGCCTCTTTTTTTTTGTTGTTTTTCTTACTTCATTTTTCAAAAATGAAAATCATTCTTGTTAAAACACTTCTGTTAAAAGAACTAGAAATGCAAGGACTAGTTTGTGTTTTAATTTTTCTCTGAGAGATTTTTGTTATTATTCTTTGGTTTCAAAAAATTTTTCCAAAAAAGTGCATGTTGGGTGACAAATTTTTCTGAAGTCTCATTTGGCTGGTGTTTGGTAATTCCATTAAGTACTTAAAAATGATGTATTAAGTGCTTGTACTACAAAAAATACTCTCTCTCATTCTTTCTCTCCCATCACACACATATACTCTCTCTCTCTCTCTCTCTCTCTCTCTCTCTCTCTCTCTCTCTCTTTGTCATACCCTCACACACTTTCATCACACACATTTGGCTGGTTGCTTGCATGAAGTTGCTATTTACTTTTCAAATGTTGAGCTAGAACGGATGAAATTTGGAAACCAACATTTCAATTTTTTTTGCTTGTAACATATGAATGATTTCATGGTTTCTGAATTGGCTATATATTGACAATTCATACCTCGCATCAACTATTATAATGAAAAGCTTATAATGAACTTGTTTTTTGGACAGGAATTTGCAGTTTGAAGAATCTCCATGAACTTGACGTGAGTCACAATAATTTTTACGGGCCTATTCCCATGTGCTTCAGAAACTTGACATCTCTTCGACATCTCGATCTCTCCAACAATATTCTCAGCGGAAACATCCCTGCAGCTCTCATTACTCCTCTCGTACACCTTGAGTATCTATCTCTCTCTGGCAACCTTTTTGGAGGTTCTTTTTCTTTCAATTCTTTGGGCAACCATTCAAAGCTTCAGGGGTTCAAACTTGGACCTTTGAACAATGATTCACATGTCGACACTGAGGATCTTGCTCTGCCCCCACCATTTCAGCTTAAGGGTCTCTATTTATCTGGCTGCAACTTGAATAATCGGACTCGAAAAATCCCAAGTTTTCTGCTCTATCAGAAAGAAATGCGAATTCTTGATCTTTCTTCCAATAAGTTAGTCGGCCAGATTCCTACTTGGCTTCTGCAAAATAATACAAACTTAGAAGTTCTTGTTCTAAAGGATAACTCTTTTACGGGTCCGTTTCTTGTAGATGATTCTCTGGGAATAAATCTAATTCAATTAGACATCTCAAACAATGACGTCAGTGGTAAGGTTCCCCAAAATATCGGTTTATCTTTTCCAGCTCTGCGGTGGTTGAGTTTGTCAGGAAATTCATTGGAAGCCAATATTCCCCAGTCATTGGGAAACTTGACAATGGCAGAAACAATTGATTTGTCCCACAACATGTTTTCAGGGGAGGTGCCAAGTCAAATTGGAACTGGATGTTTACGTCTTAGAATATTGGTATTGTCTTATAATAATTTGCATGGCAATTTTCCTTCTGGGTCCACGAACTTAACAAGCCTAGAAACCCTTCACTTGGATAATAACCATTTTATTGGGAGCATTTCACATGGATTATCTCGTTCTCCAAGTTTATCTTGGCTGGATATTTCAAACAATTCTTTTCAAGGCAAAATTCCAAGTTGGATTGGAAATTTTTCATATTTGAAGGCTCTTGACATGTCAGCCAACTTGCTAGAAGGTAGCTTATGCTATATGCAAACTTTCACATCTTCAATTTTTAGACCTCTCCAAAAATCAGTTGATCGGACCTTTACCAGCCTGCTCCGAGCTTACGTCATTGAAGTTCCTCCACCTGCATCACAACATGATCTCAGGGCCCATCTCAAACATGCTGTCTGGGAGCTTCAATTTGACGACACTCGATTTGGGTTACAACAAGCTGTCTGGCGGTGTACCACGCTATATTGGTAAACTTAAAGAGCTCAGGTTTCTTCTATTGGGGGGAAATGAATTGCTTGGTCATATTCCTTTGCACTTATGTCAGCTGCAGAATGTGACAATTATGGATCTTTCTCAGAATAAGTTTTCTGGGCCACTGCCTACATGCTTCAACAACATTTCTTTTGGCAGCGGGCAGTTCTCCACAGATGCATTTTTTAAATATGACCAGACTTTTGCATTCCCCATATACTTTCCTGTTTTGGCCAACAGTGAGTATTCTCTAACTTTTTCCGAGCAAGAAATAGTGATATTCACAACAAAAAGTAGAAGCGAACACTATGCAGGGAATATATTGAATTTCATGTCTGGACTTGATCTGTCATGTAACCAATTGATTGGAGCGATTCCTCCTGAATTTGGTGATCTCAGACATATCCGGGCATTAAATTTATCCCACAACTACTTGCAAGGATCTATTCCCTCAAGACTTTCCATGTTGAACCTAGTAGAGAGCTTGGATCTTTCTTACAACAATTTCAGTGGCGAAATACCTTCAGAGCTGGCATCCTTGAACTTCTTGTCCATCTTCAATGTGTCATACAATAACTTGTCTGGCAGGGTACCTGATACAGGGGAGTTTGCAAACTTTGACGACAGAAATTATAGAGGAAATCCAGGTCTCTGTGGACCATTGCTCAAGAGAAGTTGTAACCCCTTTGCTCCACACCCTGAAAATGTTGGTGATCAAGACATAGAAGTTGATGGTGCAATTGATGTGGCAGCATTCGCTTGGAGCTTTTTTGCTTCATATATGGTGATCGTGATTTCATTAGTGGTAATTCTTTGTGTTAGCCCTTATTATAGAAGAGCATGGTCTTTTTATATTGATTATTGGATTCTATCGAGATTCTACGAGTATTACAGGTCTCGTTCCTCAGAGAAAAAGCAAACATGGAAAGTGTTCAATTGGAACATGAGAAGGAGATGAATTGGTTCTAGTTACTCTATTGGGATTCTTCAATTTGGAAAAAGGTCCAATGTATCTGCAAGTATTGAAAGAGGAACTATATGAGCTGAAATTCTGATGTCCAATATATTTTGCACTACAGTTTTTTTTCTCACATTTGTGGTTTTATTTTCTTTATTTGCACAATTACCATTTCTTTTCTGAATAGCCATAATTTTTTTGCTAATTAATGTATGAAGATGAAGATTAGAGCGGCTTTGGATAATTTTTAATTGGTCAAAAGCAAATGAATGATCAAGTTGCGATTTTGCAATACAAATAGCCATATTGTACAGTCGCTCAACTTTTTGTTTTCCTTTTTCTAGCAGCGTAGGGAGAGGAGAGGAGAGGAGGAGAGGAGAGGAGAGGAGAGGAGGATTCAAACTCAAAATCTTTATATTTTGAGGTTTTAAACTTAGCCACTAGATGATTAACGAAAATGTGGCACAACAAGTAAAAATTTTTTTATTTCTTGATTTATTAGTTTAATTAACTTGTAAAATTTGTGTATTTTTCACTAATTATTTTTTTTTACAAAAAAAAATCGTATCAGTATGAAAATTAAAGCAGTTCAAACTATTTCTACCTATTACCTTGACAATGATACAATTTAGACCCACATATTCTCTCGGTCCCAAAACCCATCTCATTTGGCTTCGAGTACCGATGCTAACATTGGGCCGCAAAATGGCATCACAACTAAGTTCGTGCCCAAAAGAAATAGCAGAAAATTCTAGTAACATGTCCACTCGAAATTGTACAAGCAAAACTCTAAATGAAAGCCAGAAAGAAGAAAAATCACAGTGGGTAAGCAAGTTTACAATCAATCAAATACTGCTTAGAAGCTATCCAAAGAAGCAAGTTTACTCAGCAACAACCGCCTCATTCAGCACCGAAGTCGCCTGGCCAGGCAAAACATTCAATCTTTCTTTGCTGCCTCTTGACCATACATTTTTTTTCCCCCCTAGAATTATACTGAAATTCAATCCATAATATACCCTGACGAAAATCAACCACCCGAATCTTGAAATAATTTTTTTAATTTGACTCACAAATATGCTTCCCATAAATTGCCCTGAAGAAAATGATTATTTCTAGTCTTGAAACTTCTTTTTTAGTAGGTTAGGTTCTGATCACCTTCAGAACCATGACAGCGGAATTTGAACACACGATTTTTTGTAAAAAAGTTACACGTTCTTGTCAACTGAGCCGACTTACTATTCTTGAAACTAAAACGTTGAGTTTGAGCTTTAAAGTTAGGCTCGTTGATGTATTAAGAGATGGTTTTGAATTAACGGGTGTACAAATTTTGTTTGAAACGGTTGTGCAATTTCCACTTTTTGATGAGAATTTTTCTTCCCAACTGAAATGATCCTTATAATGGTTGTGGCTTAGCTCAACTCAAGTTTGAGTAGCTTGATAAAAGGCTCTAATAGAGCTCGGGCCAAAGTTATTTGTGAATGTAGTTTTGTACCTTTGTTAATCATTATCCCCAAGTGCTACTAAATTCATTTTCAAAAAAGATCATAGTTATGCACCCAAGGTCAATTAGAGAACATGAGATGTACGATAGGTGCTCAATTGACTTTTAATTTAACTTCGAGCCAAAAATATAAGTCTAGCTTCACTTGATCAAGTCTAAGCTCGACTCGCCGATTTGCAACCTTACATTTGAGTTGACTTGTACAGTAGTCTTCTTTTTTTTTTTTTGGTAATAAAAGGGACTATATATTAAAACAAACTTAAGTTATAGGTACAAAACGAGGGAAACAAATTCCCTTAAGATCTGCATCTACTAGACTTCTCAAAGTATACGGAATACTTTCATAGCATACAAAATTCACGTCTTGTTGAGCACCCAGTTTTGCCAATCTGTCAGCACACTGGTTTGCTTCTCGATAAGCATGTCTAAATATGACTTTCGGCAGGGCAGAGATCAGGAACCTGCAATCAGAGATAATTGAAGCATACTCATGAGTTGAGGTATCTGCCGATTTAAGCAAGTCTAGAGCAGTTTTAGCATCAACTTCTAATTCAACATTTTGCAAGTTTAGAGAGGAAGCTAAGGATAGTCCATCCCTTATCCCCCACGACTCAGCAAGAATATTGGTAGCATGTCCCAATTTTCTGCTAAACCCAGCTATCCAGTGTCCTAGGTGATTTCTGATCAAGCCACCTGATCCAGCTGGACCCGAATTCCCTATCACTACATCATTTGGTACGCAACTGGGATCGGGTTTGTCCTAATACTTGCCTTCCAAAAGGGAAGGCAACATCTTTGTCCAGTTCGTTTGTCTTTGCACTCCAATTTGGCCTTTTTTGACTCATAATTAATTCCAAAGTAAAGTGGAAGGCACGGCACTATGCTACCATCTTTCTTTTAATTCTTGGTCTCCATAATCTGCACTCCAAATTTTACGACTTAGCACTTTTTCTGTTGGCCGGATAGATTGACCGAAGTAGAAATTTCTTGTCAAGAACAAGAAAAACAGCAGCAACAATAAATGCCCTCCAACTAATAAGTGAATGTAAGGACTTTGATAATATAATGAGTCAATCTATGGCGTTGCTTCCAACAATGTAAAAACCTCTATCGCTAATTCTGGACACAGCAAAAATTGCACCTATGAAAAGGAAATACTGCCCATGTAATGAAATAATGGTTAGAAAATACAGAAGTAGGAGAAGACGAGCATTTTCCATGTACATATGCAATAATCCACATTTTGGCGCATGGAGAATTCTTTGTCTCCGGCCAATATCTCTTTTAAGTTTAGTCCATGAGGATAATGGATTATTCTCAGTCATTTACTTATCTTAATCTTTTAATTGTAAAAAAATTATAAGATAAATTCTCATGAGTCTTTATTTATCTCTTACTCTCGTAACAATACAATTTAGTCTCTAATATTTAAAATCAACTTACTTTTATCTCAAAATGTATGTCACATCAACTTTTGGTGTCATGTGCTCGTGATACTAATTTCAAGGGACAGAAAAGGTATCGCATCTCATTCTTGCTGATTTGACTCATTAAACTTACCGAATTTGGTATTTGAAAATTAATTTTTTTTCTTAGCATGTATTGGCCTGATGAAAATCAGTAGATCTCTAGCCTCGAAACGTACTTATGTTTGAGATCATAAAGCTACCAACTTTTGTACCCAAAAAAAAAAAAAAAGGCTGCCGATTTGAGCCTATAAATCAGAATCACTGCTCTATGAACAGATGCTAGAGGATTTGAACAAAAGTTTTGTTTGAACAAAAAGGGTAATTTCCATTTTAGAATGAGGATTTCTCTTCCCAACTTAATATTGAGCCTATTTTTAGTAGTAACTTAGCTCGACCAAGCTCAAGCAACTTGAAAACACTCCAACCAAGGATGTTCCAAGAAATTCGATCCTGGACTCGTCCAAGATAATAATATATACACATTTTTGTTTACCATATTCACAATAGGGAAATGACAATTAAATTAATTTTTCTGAAACCTTATAGGAGTAGATATTATCTCTCTTTATTCGAGAATGATTGCGCTCCTACTCTTTTTTTTTTTTTTTGCTTTATTTGTAGTTATGGTTGAAAGATTAACTAAATTAGTTGATATTTGAATCGAGTTCGATTTGGTAAAAATTTATTCGAGTTTGGTTCGCCAACTAATTAAGTTAAACTTGAACAGCATTTTATATTTGATAACTTTCAAACTCGATATAAAACTTGTTCAAATTTAATTCGATAAATAAACAAACCAAACTTAAATAAAATTTCAAACTTATCAAAATAATCAAACAAGTTTGAATAATGTGATGTTCAACTTGATTAATCTCGTTTACATCCCTATTTGTGATACACTAGGTGGGGTTTGAACTCTATTGACCTAGTATATAGGACCAAGTCCCAACGATTGGTTAGGCTTCTACTCTTTTTTTTTACCGCAACAATAACATTCCTATATCCTAATCTATTATATTCTACAGGGAGGGGAAGTTAAAGAGACTATATAATGAGTTAGCATATATACCGGCCTGACTAGATTAAATAGATATTCTATCATCTCATTTGAATTTTTTTTCACTACATATGGAGTTAGGCTCCTACTCAAGTTCTACGAAAAGATATGAGGTAGGGGCACGTAACATTTAAGTCAATGTCTACTCCATTAAAGCGGGCCAAAGCTCCATTGACTTGTCTTGTTTGCAACCTAACAGACTTACACCTGCATTGACTTGTGGAGTCCTCTCCGGTCTCCGTCTCCGCTCCATCACTTTGATACCCAACTGGAATAGGGGAATTACAAACTCATGCTGCCTTCCATTTTCGTTACAATTAACACTTTCCTCCATTAGTTCTCCATACTGAAATCATGCACGGTCATTTCATTCTCATTGTCTTGTGGGCTCTTGTTGTATCGATGATACATGATGGAACACAACTTTGTTCAGGTTGCTTTCCAGAAGAAAAACTTGCTCTCTTAGACTTCAAAGCTTCCTTGAATATGACAGAACATGCTCATCTTATCCTTCCTTCATGGACTGGAAAAGAAGGTGATGGAGCAAACACTGATTGCTGCACCTGGGAACGGGTCAAGTGCAGTAATATTACTGGCAGAATTGTTGAACTCCAACTTAGTAAATTGAGAAAGCATGGGGAATCCTATGATTCTTATTATCAGGATTGGTATCTAAATACTAGCACCTTCATACCCCTGAAGGACCTCCGAGCTCTAGATTTGAGTTGGAATGACTTCAATAGTGAAGTGACAAGTACAGTATGATGCCATCTTTCTTCAAATAATTGGTTTGCTTGAATATTGTTGTCGTTTTTGTTGTATAATTTTGTTTCTTGTTCTTGGTTTCTTTCTATATACTTGCACTTTTAGTTAGCATTCTCAACATCTCAAAGAGTTTGGCATAGTTGGGTTTTGGCACACAATTTAAGAAAAATTTTTGGGGGCAAACACATTTAACTTGGCGTGGTACAAA